CTAAACTGATGAGCGGTAAAAGCTTTTAAAGTGTCGCCTATGGCCAATTTTGGGTATGGTAGTTTTCTGCAATTTCGCGGGTGCGCGCAATTTTAAAGCTTGACATGTTTGGTGTCTATTTACCCAACGTGACCCGATCTTTTATATTTTACCAAAAAACTGGGTAATAATAAATGTTTCCTAACATAATGTAAAAAAAAACTTTTTTTTTTTCACAATTTTCTGTAATTTGTCCTAATTATAATAAAAAATAAAAACCCCAGTGGTGATTAAATACCCCCAAAATAAAGCTCTATCTGTCCCCAAAAAAATGGTATAAAATTTATTTCAGTACAGCGTTGCATGACGGAATAAACGTCAGTCAAAGGACTGCAGCGCTGAACACTGAAAAATGGCCGCCACAGGAAGGGGGTCTAAACACCTGGTCTTGAAGTGGTTAATTTGCCATGATGGTGCAGGAGGAAACTGACCAGACAAATAAATATATTACATATCCAGTCTGTGCAGTCAACAAGCAGACACATAAGTAAACAAAACAAGAAACATGCAAGTACAAATAAAGTTTCTAAAAATAAAATAAAATGAATTGACGCCTGTAAAGTCCATAAAACAGATATCAATAAAGATTTCGACATTCAAAATAAATAATAAAAAAGAGGTCTGGTCGGCATGGAGACAGATCATAACGCTGTACTGGGCTCAGCCAGGGCCTCACCAGTGCTCAATCACGATCCTGTCCCCGGCAGGGGTCTCCACTTTCGCCTTCCCGTTTGCTTTTCCCTTTTCCTTCTCGCCATCCTCCTCCAGCTTCCTCTTCTTACCGCGTGGCGCCATCTCCGAACACACGAACGTACACTGTGCGAGTTCACCGTGCGCGCTCCCGACGCTTTTCCCTCCCGATTTCTCTCGGCTGCTCATTGGCTGCGAGACGTCACCACGGAGAGGGAGAAGGGGAGCGCGCGCCCTCTGGTGGAAGAAGACAAAAAGAAAAGCGCGCGCCCTCTGGTGGCGGGAGGGAGGCACTGCAGGCTCCACACGATACCATCATGACTCCTTTTATGACTCAAAGTTTATCAAAACTGGGGCAGACAAAATTTGGAGCAGTTGCCTCAGGCAACCGATCAGCTTCTCTCTTCTGTTTGTTCAGTTTAAATTTGAAAATGAAAGAGAGAAGCTGATTGGCTGCCATGCAAAACTGTTCCAGATTTTGTCTGCTCCAGTTTTGATAAATTGCCCTCAAGGTCTTCTCTGACACCCCCCCACCCCCCTCACTATTTATTTCCTGTGCTCCTCTTCTCCATTTAGTGGACATAATGATGTAATACATTACAAGCATTCAACTTGAATAAAATTGATATCTAAGAATGTTCCCTTTTGCGTCTATTCGCACAGAATTAATGTTCGGAAAGATTCGTAGGGCTCAGTGTCGGGGGGGCGAGTGTGAGCTTGAAGTGAGCTGCGGACTTTTATTTGGACTTCTACATATTTCATTGGTTAGATTGGGATACTTTCCTGTGGCTTTGTGCACACACACTATATATATATATATATATATACTGTAATCATTTGGGGGAAAAAATGTATATTATATTTTGTTACTTCATACATTCCACGCCATATATAAAATCCCTATTTCTGATTGGCTGCTATGTGCTCTCTGATTGGCTGTTATGAGCTGTCTAAGTGGCTGCTATGAGCTGTCGGATTGGCTGATGTGAACTGTCTGATTGGCTGCTATGAGCTGTCGGATTGGCTGCTATGAGCTGTCGGATTGGCTGCTATGAGCTGTCGGATTGGCTGCTATGAGCTTTCTGATTGGCTGCTATGAGCTTTCTGATTGGCTGCTATG